CAACCACCGATCCACCTATCGTCTTCGACCTCCCATCCCCATCCACCTATCCTCCCAACCGCCAACCCTATCACCCATGTTCGACATCTCTCCGCCATCCAGTCTTGCCCTGTCTAAATCTTCCACTAGTCCTTTGTCACCCTAACAATCCCTCTAGGCCTCCTCCCCTCCCCGACACCAGCCACTCCCCTCCCCGCCCAGCACCCATTAGTTCTCTGCCTAGACTCCATCGGTGATGTCGTGGTCAGCTATCTTGTCCCATTCTTTCGCTCGATCCTCGCACGATCTCGCTGAAGACGCCGCGGTCAACCATGGTTTCCCTGTCTCTGACTTGGTGCAACTGTGTTGCTTGAAGAACAACAAACACGTAATTGTTGCTTTTAATTATAGCTGCAAATGTGTGTCACGTTCTAATTTACTGCAAACATTACATCACCATGTACTTACGTGGGGTTGACAGTAATCAACTTGTTGTAGCCCATTTTCCTTGCGTTCATGTGTCGAGCAGTTGGTGTACATCATACATTGTATTACCTCTGTCTGAAATTACTCGTCTTAATTTTGTAATGTATCTAAAATTAAAACATATCTACATACATACGTATATAAACAAATCTAAGACAAATAATTCGGGATGAAGAAAGTAGTATTCAACAATGGTCGGATAAATGCTTATTACTACCAATTCAAAGAAAAACAATATTACTAGCTAACGTGTCACCGTCAGAGTTATACACCATGGATGACGTTATTAGTTACTTCCTCCGTCCCATAATGTAAGATGTTTTTTGACACTACGGAGGGAGTACAATCTATCCTGACCTTGTGGTCAAGCTTAACTATAGCACGGTGGTGACCGTTTATCCGGGAACCGTTTTATATTTCAAGTATCGCGCGCTAGAATTCATACTCCCTCAGACCGTGGCACGTTTATTCATTAAAGACTTGATGTGTATGTGTATAAATAAGGGGGATGCTTAGCTAAGTGTGTGCTATCCTCAAGAGAAAGCTGGTGTAGCTAGATAACTGCTCCAACTCAGTGCAACAGTCCGTAATTAAGGAAAACAGGCCAATGGTCCTTACCGATCACTTATGCCCATATCGTATACTAGTAGTACTATAAATAATTGTCCACCTCCCTTTCTCCTCTCTCAATGTCTCTTTGGGGCCACACCAAATTTCAAAGTTGGAATCAGGGCACCCGGTAATGATGATGAGCCGGACTATATATGACATTGAGCAGGGGAAGTTGTAGATCCGATGGGAAAGGGCACATGTCATGTTTTGTTGTGGTGGCTGTGGGGAGTTCATCGTGGATAGCCTGAATTCCGCTGAGGCTCGGAAGGATGTCTGGCTGACTGAGAGAGTGGCAACGTGGCACGCCCTTGCAAGAAGGCGACATGGAATCAGCATTATTGGGTTGTTGTTGTGGTGTGCACCATACTCCATCCTTTCCGGTTTATTAGGCCTGTGCCTATCCCTAGATTAGAAATTTGATCAACATTGTACGAATTATATATCTTAAGATTGTATGTTACTAAAACTATATATTATTTGAGTTTTCTAAGGATATGTCTTTTATGATATACAATTTGTATTGCATTGATGATTTTTTTAAACGAGCGTTGATGAAATTATCATACTAGGGATATGCACATGTCTAATAAGCCAGAAAGGAGGTAGTATGGCCGAAGCAAGGTAGCCTAGCGTCAATAACTATCTCGTTATTGGAGTTGACGTGTTCTCGGCGAACTCAGAGCGTTTGGAAATTGAGAGGGGAGAAATGACTGGTGGTGTGCTTATTCTCCATACACGAATCCATAAGGTGTTCTAAGCCGTGGGTCATGTCATGGGTCAGGCCAGATAAAAAAAAGACTTCTTGGGCATTGAACCACAAAATCATTAGCCATGTTCCCTTTTGACACATATGGGAAATCCTATTTGTTGCTCTATGCGACATTTTGACACGCAAATGCACAAGGTGAGTGCACTGGGTTGGCACCGGGTCGTTATGTGTCTGGTATACTTCATTTTCTCCATGGCTTGTTCAGTTTTTTTGTTCCTTCTGGTTTCCCCATTTTTCTATTTTTTCCCTTTTCTTTTCCAATTTCTGTTTTTTATCATTTTCTAATTCAGGAATATTTTTCTAAAAATTGTGAATATTTTAAAAAATCACTATTTTTATTTATTTTTTGAATATTATGATTTTTAAGAGAATTTTGAAATGTGCACATTCACAAAATTTCACATTTTCTTTGAAATTACTGAAAACATTACATATATATATATATATTTATATCAGTCAAAAAACTCCAACAAGTTTTTTGGAAATACCGCAAGAACAAAAAACACAGGGAAGAAAATCAGGAGAACTCGGCGGTCCACGGAGTGTCAAAGTGAGCTATGCGAGTGCAGACTATCTTTCACGATAAGCGAATGATAGCAGGATGCGGCACATAGTACTAACCTTGTTTCAGTACATGAATACACATGGGGTCCGGCCATTTATTGTCCTCTTTCTCTTTGTTTTCGTTTTTGAATTGTGAGAAGTTTACGAGATGTAATGCTAAGAAGAGGATACCTTCCCAATTAATCCCTCTCTCTACGTGACAATGGCACATCAACCTGATGTGTGGACACCGGCAAAAGGTCAGCATCGAGCTTATTGGTGGATTGCACAATTGGATGCCTCCTCGATCTTCCGATCTCACTTAAGTGAACAGATCTTAAATGCATGATTTTTATAAATAAAATCTATGTATCCAAGTTTTTGATATGCCTAAATAGCATGTTTATCCTTTGCCCGAAAGGCGGCGGAAAAATGCTTCTAGTGTTGGCAACGTTAAATAAAATGCAGGAAACTATTTTATTCAACATTTTTTGTAGATGTACAACAAATCCCATCGAATAAACATTTATAAAAGGTGATTGCATCATGTGCAACATCAAATAATAATTTCTAGCTCCATGCGGAGGGGGCATAGAAGATAACCTTATAAAACAACACCAAAATGTTATATTCAGCATCAACCAAAAACATTATGTGTTCAACACGTATGGATACCGTGCAAGTGAAATGCAGGTCGGAAGCGCAATCACTACACCATCCTTTTCATTTTATATGCATCACAACCAATGAAGTATGCGACATGCAGAATCAAAGACAACATGTAATTCTCCAAATTACTAGTTATTGCGCCTGGCCTCGCAGCGTGTTGGGCTTGAAGTTGATGAATCCAACTAGCAGAGTTATGTCCTCGCAAGGTCAAAAGTGTACCAAACTTGCCCTTCCATCACTGGGGTTGCTTCTAGTGGTGCAACAAATGGTTTATTTCAAGCTGTGTCGATGATGTGCAAATGGCAATGAGGAGCATTTCTGAAGCATATCCATTGATGGTGAGGTGGCATAACAAATTTTCAATGCACTAGGTAGGTCATCCACATATGCCAACCCGATAAGCTCATTGATGCTTGACTAGTAACACATGTGCCTCCTGGAGTAGTGAGAGGTCTAGCACCAAAGTGTCAAAGACGGAGTTTAGACGATGATGAATAATAAAAAGAGCAATTGGTGGTTGGAAGAAAATAGCTGCCACATCCTGGTGGTGCTATAGGACTATGGCTCACCCCAATACCGGTCCTTCATTTTGTAAACAAGATTTTAAATGCCGAAACACAAAACACCAAAAAAATAGGTATGTTTAGTTAACTTGCAAGAATTTTTCACTGATGTGACAAATCAAAAAATTGTGCCAACAACTCTGGTTGTCCATATTGTGGGAGGGTTTGGCAAAACTATTAAAGAGGCATTCTAAACACGTGACAAAATAGCTAGAGAGGTGCCACACTTATGAATTTTT